GTCCGGCCCTTTGCAGGACGAGTTAGCTGCTCCCTGCTCTAGACCATCACAGTCTAAGGGAGGACACATTTGCAGTTTTCCTCCTGAGACCCAGTACCCTTCATTTCCAGTAAAAGCAAGTGGGACACCCACATGGACTGGGGTGGAAATTCCACCCCTAGAATGCCAGCTCCCACAGGGCCTGGAGTCTGCCCTGTCACCGCCAGGTGAGATGCCCAGTACCTGGCATCTCAGAGATGTCCAGTAAGTGCTTCTGTTTGAACTTTCGAGTCATAGGAAGCATCAGGTACACTAACCACCATACAGGGATGGGGACCCCAGAGAAACAGTAATAGAAGCATGTGCAGGAAGACCTCAAACACAGGAAGGAACCACCTTCATTGGGTTTTTATTACGTGCCAGGCACCATTACGGTGCTCTCTAGCTTTTGTTTTATTTACTCTTTCTAACAACCCTTTATAAATGAAGCAATCCTGCTTGCGACCTGTTACTGTATCAGTTAAAAACGATTGGTTTTGATGTTGTCAGACATGACCAAGGCCTGTATGTTCCTCAGTTTTCACATCTTTTACATGTTTGAGAAAATGTTTATGTAGTACATGTAATTAAGAATGTTCCCTAAGATAGTAAGGAAAGTCTTTCTTTTGTATGTGTCTCTTTACCATTTCTCCTGTTAATAGAGAAGCATTCTTGGCCAAAAAGAAACATTACTTTTCCTGTCCCTTCTGTGCCACTTCCTGTGGGAGCTTTAGCACACCTTGAGTCTTACCCTGTCTAGAACCAACATCTCTCAATATATATTTTTTCCTTTTATTCATTTCCTCCTGAAAAGTTGATGCTAGGGCATGAGCATATGAGTGACCTTGATTTTTAAGGTGAGGTTTCCATACCTGGAAAAGTGTCAGGCAGTCAGAACGTACTTGTTTCATAAAGGGACCACAATCTTAACTTATTTTGAGAGCACAAGAGAACAGAGAGGTTTGTTTGTTTTGTTGTTTGTTATTGGAGATAAAGAAATTACGTATCTTAGGGTTCTCTACATTGCATTTTCAGGTGCTATTTTGTGTCAAGTCTGAATTATGTAAAATAATCTGACCTATATATACATCATGACATTTGGCATTTTTCTTAAGGGCTTTTGCCTGAGAGAATAAATTGCAATCTACATTAGAATTCTGACATAGAAGGGGCTCTAAGTTATTAACTAATAATAGTTAGCATTCTTATATTTAATCTTAAAATTTATTTTTGTGTATCTGCTGTGTGTAGGAGCATCTAATGGTGTACAAAAGTGATATCAACAGCACAGCCTCCATTCTTACAAGACTGCCAAATTTAGGGTTTTGCCTATCATTGGAATTAAACGTTTTTAAAATTGTTCATTGAGATATAATTCACATTCAATAAAACTTGCCATTTTATATAATATAATCCAGAAGATTTTAGTATATTTGTAAAGTAGTGCAACCCTCATCACTATCCCATTCAATAATGTTTTCATCATCCCCCAAAGAAACCCCACAAACATTAGGAGTCAATCCCCACACTTCCCTCCCCCAGCTCCTGGCAACAACTAATTTATTTTCTGTTTCTATAGATTTGGTTGTTCTGGATGTTTCATATAAATGGAATCATAGATTATATGGTCTTTTGTGTCTGTTCTCTTTTACTTAGTGTTAATATTTTCAAGGTTCATCCATGTTATGGCCCAAATCAGTAATACTTCATTCTCCTTTAAGGTTGAATAATATTCTAGTGTATGGAAATATGACATTTTGTTTATTCATTCATCAGTTGATGGGCATTTTCGTTATTCCTATCACTAGAATTAATTAAATTAATATTTTTGGTCTGTGTGCATCTTTGATAGATTATGATGATAAAATTGTAGTGTATTAAAACTAGCGACTACCTCAGTGTCATACCTTTAAAGATGAAGAAACCACAAACATTCACATTCAAATCGATGGATCTAGAGTTTGAAAACATTTCCAGATTTTCACTATTTCATCCCACTATTTCTCAATCATTGGAAACTTAACCTGTTCTCAATATTTGAGAATCTGTTGTGTGGGAAATTTTGTTCATGGAATGAATTTTGGACTTACTGCACAATAGAACCGAGTGAAACAACATGTTTAAGTCCCTTTGTCCCATCCTATTAGCTATGCTTATGAGCCTTAGATGTATGAGACAAACTTGAAAAATAGAACACCTACTTTTAAAGTGTACAGTGATACAGCCCAAGGATTCGGGGCCTTCAGCCACACCCTCCCTAATCCTCTAGTCAGGGGCCAAGGATCTGGAGCACCTACGCTTTTTTTTTTTTTAAGTTTTTTTTAATAGACTTTATTATTTTTTTTTTAGCAGTTTCAGGTTCACAGCAGAACTGAGCAGAAAATACAGATTTCGCACATAACCCTCCCCGCCCACAAACATATACTCTCCGATCCTCAACATCCCTCATCACTTTGGCATACTTCGTACTATCGATCCGTGCCCATGCGCTGCCCGGCCGCGCCCCTCCCTCCGCCCGCCTAACGGGCAGGCAGGAAGGCAGGCTGTCCTTGGTCGAGCGGACGGCG